TTACATTTTGTACCACATAATTTAAAATCACATCGAGTGTTTTTGTGCCACCAACGTTTCATTGCTGCTTTTCTCCGGCATTTAAATGATGAAAAATCATGCAGAAAAAATGAAAAAAGACCAGCATATCCCATTTCATAATCTCACAAGTTCATTGAGTAGTACACGTTGTGTATAAAACTGATACACTGCACTAACTAATTGATCCTCTCAAATCCCAGTGAGTAAATATTGACCTGAGGAACAATAAAGTTTAACATCTACTGCGCTTGTGCCATTACGGGGATGGCCATGTACTCACTCACACCTTCCCCTCCCTCGCAACCTTCTGATGTTAATGAATAGACCGGCCCGACAATGTTTTATACTGCTGTCATTCAAGGCCCTTTCCTCTACTGTCTTGTCAACGCAATTTTTCTCACGCATCACGCATGCTTTTTTCGTCCCGGGGGTAAGGAGCAGAAAGGGGGCAGCGGGGCTGGGTGGGTCGGGGTGAAGAGAGGTGGAAGGCGTGGGGGGGGGATGGGATGGAGGGAGGGAGTGTGCGGCGAGACGCGTGTCGACGTGGAATTTCATTCGCCGATTTGCATTTATCGAGCGCGTCCCAAGTCGTGGGTAACTTTGATTCAGAAGATTATCTCCCCGCTCAGTACATGATGTCACGCGGGCCATATGCACTTGTCTTTCGCCGCACTGATCACAGGGCGCCTTTTTTTTCTGCGCAAAGAAAGAGGCGCGGGAGCGTCGAGGCCCCCCGTCCCGTCCCGCACGAACGACGATCTTCGTGGGCGTCCTGCGGAGAGGGACGTTCTTTGTGCGCCGCTAGCGTCGATGGTCAATGGAGGTTTCTCTTTTCTCGTCCGCCGTGTGCCAGCTTGTGGCATGTTAACATAATCGGCGTGCTGCCACCCTGCGTCTCCCTTTTGGGCCGTGCTCTTTTAAGCCATCTGCCGGAAAGCGCTTTTTTTTGGTCCCCCCCCCCCCAAATGCAAGCCAATGTTGCGTGTGGACTCTCGTAACAATAGAAATGGCACATCGGGGAGCAAGGAATCTGACAAAGTCACTTCTGCGCACATTGCGGGCACATTTGTTTTTTTCTCTTCAAAGGGAATTGTTTTTTGTTTCCGTTTTATTGAAAGTGATGTTTTAATATATATACAACGGTACATTGGAACTGGGGATACTGAAAGCCTTGAAATTAGTTGTGAAAAAACTAGAAACACATGCGGTATGTTGTCTATGGCTAAGATAACACACTGTATAAATAACACGTTTTAAATAGCAAAGGGGTTTTTAATAGTTGTTGTTTTGGCAAAGAAATTATAATTCTACTATTACTGTGTAATGCATTTTGACATGTTACTGACCTCTTTGGATAAGCAGTGTTTACATTTTAAGATTGTTACACTTTATTGCTTTGCTCATATAGAGGTATTTCACGAAGTGAAGAGACAACGGTTATCTTTCATTCGTTCGCATCGACATACCAAAATACTATTTTCTTTACACAGTCACCTCGACGAGATTACATTTGTCCCAGTGGCCTGCAAGCCTCCTTTACTCCAGCAGCACAGACGGCGTTTGCCAAGTCTTTAAGCCAGTCATGACCACACCTCTGCTGTCACAGTCTCGTCAACTGTCGAACCGCCTTCCACATAGAGCTTCTTTCAATGGTCTGAACAGATGGAAGTCCAAAGGGGCTAAGATCTGGGCTGTGTGTCAGATGTTCCAGAACATCTAATCCACGCTTTCCGAACGTTTCCATCATGAAAGTGTGGCTGTGTGTTGTCATGCTGAAACATCCACTCCCCCTCTCAACAGTTCAGATCTACAATGAATGACACATCTAAATATGTTCTCCCAACAAGCCAATATGAAGCGTAGGTGTTATTAGTTATTTCTTATATGGAATACAACTGCTATTGAACTGCATTACTCAAAAAAACTCATCAGTACCTAACCTGCAAGAGGTTCAAACTTTGCTAGAGATCTTAAGTATTTTACATGTAGTGCTCTAAAACGTGCTCTCTGACTTTTAATTATGAATCCTGGAATGATCAGTAGTGATGGTTTGAGACAAATGAAAATGTCCTAAAGGAGGAATCTGGCCAATAAGATAGGAAAAACACATCTTGGTTTAGGTATTCCGTTCACTTTTTTGACACCCAGTTCACACACCTTTCAGAAATTCGACTCAGTCATGGATTATTAAATAGGCTGTTCCCACACTTATCCACGTGACAACTGATATGTGCTTAATCCAACTCACTCGTCAACCAAAGACAACAATGAACATGGGCCACATTGGCTGGAGTTGAAGCACACTTGGTGTATTATTACGGCCATCATCATCAGTCTAATTAAATATTATGATTCTGATAAACCTGCCTGCATCCTGCATGTGGATATTCCTCCCATTTGCTTGAGCATTGTTTTGATGTTGACAGTTCTCAACCATATTTGCAGATTCACTCTTAAATAAATGTCACTTGTCTTCACACAATAAAACAAGCGCCCTGCTTATGTGCAGTTGTGCAAGGGCACTCTATCTTTGACCACGTGATACATCTGCCATGTAGCAGACAAATCTTAAGAAAAATATGTTGCATATCAGTCCGATGGTCATGCCCCAATCACCCTGCAATTTGTACATACATTGCACTGATGTAGGTTATAGATTCATTACTAGTTTTAACTTGGTGGAAAGCCTTCATAGGTGCCCTGTTATTGCCGATGATGTCATCAAATTCAGGAAGCTGGCTGGCTTAGTGGTCAGCACGTTCATCAATGAGCTGAACTGCTTTGATCATTGGTGCAATGATATACGTTTGATCAAAATACACTGCTGTGAGCCGTTGTGAAAGAATGCACAAAATAGCAATGTGAAAATAACTGACAGCTAAATCACGCGAGTCCCAACCCATGGCATGTGTCAAAGCAAACATTTGGTTACACGTATTGTTATGTTTACACATTCGTATAACAGTGCTTGGTGGCAGACAAAGCGTTTACGTAACACCGACTTTTAAGCAGTGAAGCGCGTATAAATTATTCTGGTTAACGCAACCATGACAGCGCACAATGCCCTACTCCTGAATTAAGAGTGATCAGATTAGCGGACACACGCCGACACGGCTTAACGTCCCCGCGCGCGGGATGGCACGCCCTGTGATGTCCACCGGCGCCCCGCCGCTCCGCAAGCGGCTGCCCTCGCTGCCTCGGTCTCGGAAAACCACCGAACACGTCCCTCCGACTTGAGAAAGGCGACAGCGGCTTGCAGCATCCGGGGCCGTGCTCTGCTGCCACGGCCGAAACGATATATGAATTTCCAACGCAGCGGTGTGGTGGTCAGCGCATAGCCCCCAATGCAGAACCGTGCCATGCCCTAATTCATCTCCATTAATGCTGGCCAGCCTGTCCAGCTGGTGACAGGGGGGTCAGCTGAGCTGCCGGGCCACCTCTGATTGCACAGTCCTGGGGGGTGTTTATAATCGGCCCCACTCCCTTTGTTTACACACAGCCTGGAAAAAAGGGGGAGGTGGTGGTGTTGGTTGGGGGGGGGTGAGCTGTGGGGTGTGGTGAAAGGGATTACTCCTGGTCTGCTGGGGTCAGCGACAGCTGCCAAACAGTAGCGGCAGGCGCAATGTGTGCGTTTGCGCGTGCGTCAATATGCAGGTGTGTGCACGCATGCATGCACGTACGTATGTACATTGTGTGTATGTTCGTGTATCTGGGCTGTACATACCTCATTGTGCACATTTTGAAAATGTGTACGGGTATGAACGTGTGTGCACATTTGTCAATACATGTGTATGTGTAAATGTGTGTTTAATAGGAGTGGTGGTGTTGTACAGCTATGGGCTACAATCTTGGATACACTAATTTAAAAAACGATATTTGATTCCTGGCCAAACATGGCAATTGGAATTTTAACCCGGCCTCTATCTTACCTATAAAACAATGCATATTAAAATAATAACCTCACAATGGTTCAGCAACAAAGGCCTTCAAGAATGCGGAATTCACGACTGAATTCCGCATTAACGTACGACGGCGTTTCGCTAAAACTTAATCTTTATTTATACTGGAGGAATCCGATGAGCTATAAAGCTCTGTTTCACCGATGTCCAGTAGGTGTGGGTCAAAACGTTACAACAACAAACGAAACAAAAACACGATAAAATGCAAAGTATAGGAAAGGCAAACAAAATCGCAAAAAATATATACAAATTAAACTGGGAAAGCCCACTGACCTATTAGCTTCTTTTCAGGAGCAATACGGCCACAAATTAAGTAGCTCATCATGTCAAGCTTCATCAGGTAATGAGCTCAGAAACCGAGTGCATAAAACTACCACCACGTAGCCTAACCCAAAAACAAATACGGATCATTGTATTGGCTCCAAAACGTTAAGTGAGTGGCTGAACGTTTCTGTGTGTGTGTGTGCGCGCGAGTATTGTCAAGTCGAGAGAAAAAAAAACCCTCAACTGTTTTTATTTTACCAGGTAAAGACCACTGATCTATGTAGCTATTTTTTTAGAAGCAACCTGGCCACAAATGATAGCTCAACATAGTGGCATATCATGTGGAAATGTAAAGGAGCCAAATATTATATATGCATGATTCATAAATGTGGAGGGAAAAACCGGAGGACCGGAGAAAAATCCACGCGACCACGGGGAGAGAGACACGCAAACTCCAAATATACAGTCATCAGGGTCGGGATCGAATCCACGACCTGGATACCAATGAAATAGTTAAAAAACGGCAAATATAAATTTTTGAAGTAATATTTTCTAATTAGGGCCGTTAACCGAATTGCAAAGAAATGTTTAGCCATTCTTGCATGTTTGTAATATAATGTTTGCAGTCAACATTAAGCCTGGGAGGGGGTTGTGTTGTAGAGCGTGAGTTTATTATAAAGTTAAAAGAACGTCTAAAAGGGGAAGCTGTCTGATATTGATGCACGTGCATATTGCTGGCACGGCCGGCCTTGACAGCAGGTGACAAAGGGCCCCGGTGGTCATCATGAAGGGACATGCGACAGGCCATGCTCGGCATTCCCGTCGCTCATCGCTGCGCCAAGACCCCATGAATCCCTCTCTGCCATCAGCCAAGAGGTCAGGTCCCACGTCACACTACACGCCGCCCTGCACCGCAAGCTGCAAGCATCGCACCACGGTGGAATACAGCGTGACGTACTGTCAAGGGCCACTGTTGGAATATATATTTTTTTATATCTCGGTGTTTGAATGGCAGACCTGATGGTTAGCACGCTTCCCAATGAGACACGTTTACGCGGGGTGGACGTTTCGATTTCCGCCCCCCCACACACCCCTGCCACACACCCCCGCCACACACCCCAGCAATATCGAAGGGCAGTCTTGTGTGAAGTGACCTACTCAAGTGTAGCATATTGTAGTATTCACACTTTTCACAAGAGTGTCATTTCCGTAAGCCAAATTTTCAGAATTGAAAATTACCTTTAATTGAATTACAAAGCAATATATTACAGTAAAAGGGCCCCTTCATGATTTCATTAACCGTGTATACATTCGTTTTTGCGATACTCCATTTACAGTACGTCACAAGCGCAACAAAAACTCAACACACGTGTCAATAGCACTGCACTAAACAGGAGAAATATATAACAGGCGACGTTTCAGGCAGTGATCATAGAATAGTATTTTCGCATAAAGGCATATCTTAGATCTAATGCATGCATTGTATTTTGAAATAAATTGGACAAGCACCTTTTCTCTTAAAGGATAGCTTTTCTGGAGATATAAAGGTGTTTATTATTGTGTGTATTTCTAGAAAGGAGTTTCCACCAGTGGTCCATAGGAGAATTATCAATTCAGTGCATTCTCACCGATTTGGTAATTTTTCCGCCCAAGCAAATGGTGAAAACTGACACCTTCATTGATTGTAATAATGTGGCTGTTAGTGACCTCATGACATCATTCACAATAGTAAACCATTGTGCTTCATTGTTGCAGCCTGAAATGTTTGAATTTCAAAATAACCCATGATTCCTAAATTGAATAAACGAATCATTACAGTGATGCCTTCCTTGTGGGAGATGTCCCTGTGTTGGCTGCAAGGGGTCTCCCTTAGTCAAACGGACTTGAGGCAAATAACTGGAGAGCAGATTATGAATTGATGAACTTAATAGGGGGTTTCGTTTGTTCTTTGTTTCTATTTTTGATTAAGATTTATTTTTTATTTCCACGGGGACCCCGTGTTGCTGCTCTGCCGTACATAGGCCATTTTGCTAACACCGCCGTGACAGGAACATAATAACGTAGATGTTGCCGTGGCGCAGTGGGAAGCGCACTGCACTACAAAACTGGTGACCTGAGCTCGAATTCTGGCCATGGCTATCACCAGTGGTGAGTGAGCCCCTCCCTCAACCTCACCAACCAGCAGTAGCGAGTGTGATTAAGTACGGTCAAACAACCTCCAATTACTAACACTCCATCGGGAGGCCTTTATCCAACAGTGGATTGACAAAGGGCTGTAAATGATTTTTGTTAGTAATTTTAATTTGATGCAAATGCAATTCTGGTATTGCAAGCAGTGCGGTCCTATCCTCAATGACTCATAAGCTACGTCTTCTGGGAATTAAAATTACAGAAGCTCATCTTTCACACTCGCATTATTTTTATTTTTTTCAATTAGCATCAGTAAGAGGCTATAAGCTTGAAATCCCCTGCGAGAAAAATCCAACCGTTTAAATTTTATTTGCAAGGAAACATCGGCCATGAAAACGCATTGTGCGTACGTACGAGTGTTTTGTGACGTGCGGCTATATCCACCGCTGCAGGCGTGCACGGGGTCAGAATCGCGGCCACGTGCCTGCAGAGAGAAGCCCGGGCCTTTGGCTAACTGCCGCATTGACGTCCATGACGGTAGTGCACGGTTTAGACCACGGCGGCCCTGCGGTGCACGGTGGAGGCGCGCGGTGGCTTGTGACCCGAGCCACACTCTGTCACACACAGCGCCACCCTAGCGGCGCCGGGGCCACAGCAGGCCAGCGACAATGGCCCCGCGTTACCAGGGCCTCTGCCTGCGCGCGTGACACTGGGCTGCCCTTTTTTCCTGCCCTTAAAGTGACAGCCCCCCAAGCGAGATTTAAAAGTGACAAAACACACACAAAAAACGCAGAAGCTTTATCGGATTTTTTGTTGTTGTGGAAGCGGCATAAAAGGCCGCTTTATTTTTGTATTGTGGTATATCGCACTATTTGAATCAACTGTTTGGGGTATGAGCAGCAATAAATACGTACTTTTTCTTTACGACTTACTGGCTAACAAGTGTAATAGTGTAGCTCTGCGGTTAGCTCAAGCGGGCATTGTTTTCAGTCTTTAGTAAACAAATGTCACGGTTGTGTACGCAATGCACTTGCATTTTAATTCACACCAATATTGTCGTCCCATGAACTTTCCACCCTAAGATGCTATTAGACAGGTACCTATCGATGTAATTATAAGTACGGGCCATGATGCCAAAAATCATGTTAGATCATTGGTTGTCGTACATTGTCATGCAACGTCACGAATGTTATATCACTTTGGCTCCAAATAAATTAGTACTCATTTTATTAACCATTGACGGATGATAGGCTGAGATCATTCCAGACCAGGATTTGAACTTGCAACCTTTTAGATTTCGATTCTCATGCTTTGAACCAAAATAAAAAAAAACAGAATACAAATAGTGAAAAATAAAGAAAAATAAACCTTCACACAGCTTGACCGTACCTCGAATTGCTATAATTCATGATCTTTGGAAATCACACGGCCACGTGTTCTTTTCATTGCCCACGGTTAAGGGAGAGCGGTTTGCGCCGTAGCCCATCGGACTACAGGGCGGAGAACCACAGCCCTAATTTACGGCGCGGCGCGGGTCCTCGCGGTGGTAATTCGGGCCCCGTGCTCGTCTAATCATAAAAGGAAGAAATCGATCGAGCGGCGGCGCAGGCCAGGAAGTGGGCCGTCCCTGCAGCTGATGACTCCATAATGAGACGGGGAGGTGGTGGTGGTGGTGTGGTCGAGGCGTCCCCATCAGAGTGTGCGGTGCTGCCCAGACCCAGAGACGCCAGCGCCAGCTCGCGCCACGCTTTGTGCGACGGCGACGACGACGATGAGATGGACCCCCCCCACACCCCCCACACCCCCCACCCCCAACGCCTCCGCCTCACGCAGCCACCCACAGCTTCGGTGCGCGCGAGCCGCCCACGACCCCACAAACAAAAACTTGGGGCTGCTGGCGCTGAAAGGACAAATTATACACAGCTTAACCCCAGCTCTGAAGCGGGGTCAGCGGAGGCGAGCGTGTTTCAGGCGCCCGGCCCCCCTGATTCTTGCATGCATAAGCAAGGCGCGTGCCGTTAAAAGTGGTGAACGATTAACCCTCCCAGCATAAAGCCGGGGGGTCAAGGCGAGGGAAACACAAACTGAGGCCTCCAATCGGGTTTAGTAAAAAAACATTTTATTCATAGCTTTGTGCGGTAGACGTCGACCCTGACTTTGCCTCGATTGTGCGATGCATGTTTTATTAATCCGCTGTACAAGCTAACGACTTTGGACCGCCACTCCCTTCCCTGCGGGCTTGACTCAATGGCAAGGTTTTTTTTTGCATATCAGCGTTAGATGCAACAAACTGCCTTAGCAAGGGAATTACGCGTGCGTTGCTGCACATATATATAAAAGCCGGTCTAGGAAGACCTTGTCAGTCATCCTGTCCGCTCACTCCTTGCGTTAGACACTTGATTATTAGCGCGCGTGCAAATGTAGTTTGCGTATGTGGTACATTATTATTCACCTTATTTTTGATGGACCGAGTGCGATAACATAGTTTACTTGGTTGATCGGTTCGGTGTGTGTGTGTTTTTTTTGTCTTAAGCGGTTGACTTGCAGGCAGCGGTTGCCATGGCAATGGGTTGCCATGAGTTACTGAGCCTGTTCAGCTGATTAAGCCGTCAGCTGTCAGCAAGTGAGAGATGAGAGAATAAGGGAAAGGAGTTTGGAGCCAAAGTTAAGAGGCTAACGAGCATATTGATGTAAAGAAAATGCGTGATTGTTTCATCATGAGATTCACAAATGTTCGTGAAACGACGCCTGAGCGAACAATGTCAGTTATTTGTTTTTTTTCTTTCCCCGAATGTAGTTTTAAAGAACATGCACTGCACCTCACCTCACACAATTGTATTGTTTTAAGCCCAATAGAATGATGTAGTCAGTGTCCGAGCAGATCCAAGTCACCGCTCAGACAATATCGGCACAGCTGGAGTTGGCATTGTTGCACGAGTATAATTTTTGTATCTGTTTCGCGTTGAATAAAAAGGTGTGTTAATTGCAGTCGGTGTGCTGGTGTTGGCGTGTTTTAGTAAGAAACAAGGTTTACATTTCTGGGCAATGTGCACTAGGCCACGGTGGAAACTTCACCGAGGTCTCAGAATTCAGCTCATCTTGTCGGTGTGTGGAGTTAGCCAGACGAATGAATTTATCCCCTGTGACGTTGCATAAACTTGAAGTTATCGGTATTCATTAAAAATATATATTTGCATTATATATTCCACTTACAATTTTTTTTTGCCAACTATTGCCGTTCTAAAGCTCTACTTTTGGGGGTTTTGCTTCGTATCATATGGCTATGCAGTCGAATGGCAATGACTTACTGATGAGTGTTAAGGGCATGAAACCAGAGCAGCTTCTTTGAGCTGTACAGTGACCAATTTTAAACTATTGATCTTGATTTCAGCCCACTATTGTAAGATGGATAGATAGATGCAGCACAAACGGTGGAAGGGAAATTTATTTACTGCAAGAAAACCGTGACCTTGACCTTGGAGTCTTGTTAACCATTACTGGAGATGGATACCTTCTTGTGACCATCAACGAATATGTTTTAGTATTTTTGTACTTAATTTAATTGATCCGCTGAGACATCAAATTGTGTTCATTATATAGCTAGACTCAAATTAATTTTCCTTAAAGCCATGAAATTTGCCAAAGGCATAAAGGGAACCCTGGTAACATGTTGTGTGGGTCACATGAGGAGGCAATGATGCATCTGGATGAAAATATTTGCACAATATAAGAGCAAGAAATTCTACTTGCTGGATATATAACAATAACACCGGCAATCTGTGAGTCCTTGTACAATAACTCGTTACAAATTAAAGCGATTACTGCTTAAAATGTGTTAATTTATTCAATCGTAATTGTATTATTAACTGTACTAGAACCGTGACGAATTCCATGAAACACATACATGTTATCGTTTAATAATTCATTAGTTGACCAGGAAAACTTAGAAGATAAACATTTGTGCTCGGCTGTCTTCTCAATTTTTGTACAATTTAAAAGTAACAGCTATCGTCGTGCATGATCATCAAGCAGTTTGTATTGTTCACCACACAAGTTTCCAAGGCATTTACATTAATGCGCGCCAATCAATGGCGAGCATCATATCCACGTCTGTTTAAAAATAATTGAGTTGTAGCATTTGACAACAAAAAAATCCTAATTATTTTGAGTGCTTTGCTGTACGTCGTCACAATAATACTGGCCGCATGGCGTTTGTGGACGGCTTGCGTTAGCCAGTACTGTGGTATGTATTTTTACTGCTGATGATTCTCAGTGAGGTTGAAACCGTCAAGAATTTGATTCGATTGAAAATGTATGTTGCTGGGATACATTAATTTGCAGTGATCTGTAGATTGACTTGTATTTAATTTTGAAAATTAGACAAACCCCCTCAACTGTGTGTTTATTTGTTATCATTGATGTTAATAGGAGTGAAAATGTATTTACATCGCAAATAATATCTAAAGCAGTTCTATTTGTAAACTCAAGCGTCCAGCATAATTCATGTGGAATCAAAACAGTAATTCTAAAACATTACGTGTATGATTATCTGCATGGATGGTGCAGTACAAACGACTGAGCCTCGTTGTGTTCAAATCCTAACAATGGCAACAAAAACAATTGATAAGTTTACAGTGTGAACATGCGACCGCATCTCAAGAAAGAGTAATCCCCGTGATGACTATAAAGTGAGCACTACTTGTCCAGGGCAACATTAGTCATCGTTTAGAGAGACTAGCCCCTTTCCATTGAAAGGTGGAATTTCCACCACTGGTTCAAGGCCACTGATGGTGATTAGCAGCTCCCCAGTGCTTGTTTGAAGAGAGACATTTTGACTATTTGACATTGACCTTTACGAGCGCTTAATACGTGACAGCTGAGAGTCATCACAGCACATGCGTCTGCGTGCTCTGGGGGGGGAGCGGGCTCGTGTGTGAAATTCACATCTGTAGACTCGCACGAGGTCACCCGAATGTTAATACCGTAATGCGACCACGTCACAAGTGCACGATGACATCGGTGCGTCGTTGATAAATGTGAGCGGGGCGTCCCCATTTTATAGAACTTCCGTGGGGTGGATCTACTTGGGGCCGGCTCGCTACGTTTACCGTGTCCTCGCAGGTGATGGTCGCTCTCGATATGTGTTTGACGGTGGGCCCCTGATCAACATTGCGATGACGGTGCAGCGACTATTAAAAGGCCTCTTTTTGGGCCAATATACGCCAATATTTCACGACTCAGCACAGCCAAGAACATTCATCCTAGTGCATCAGTGATGCCGCACGCAGAATTTAGCAGCGAGGCTGCAGCAACCACGTTGGATGTAAGTGCAGTTTACAATCTATGAAAAAACTGCTTCGTCAGTGTAACAGATTAATTATTGTAGCTGCAGTGGTGTCTGTTTGAATTGTAGTAGTTTTGCAACCAAAAATAGAGAAACTACAAAAAATTGAAATATACCAAAGCAAACCAGAAATAACATACGATAATATTCATTTGTTAACGTAATGTATAGAACGGTGTGGAAAAACAGCGTGCCATTGTCTTCAGATGAAAGTGTTTAATTGTTGATCATTACCTGCTGTGCCATACGGACCAGAAACGTCGAAAATGACTAACACGCAGAAAAAAGGAGGCTAAATACAACAAAATAAAAAATCACGTGATGGTGACGGGTTGTTTATAATTGGTACAAATAATATATGTGAGACTTAAATTATCGATGGGATTCAGGAAAGAGTTGCACAGGCTTTTATAATGACGGGTTTGCCTACGAGGGGAGTGACTGCGTGAAGAATACATTCTCTCCAACCGTCGTGCTTTGCGTGAATGGACAGCGCGTGTTTAATCACCGTGTAGAATACAATACAATTTGGATTGTTTAGTCAATTGAGGAGAGCAAATGTTAAGAAACACACATTAGAACGACCTCTTTAAAATCACAGCTCAGTCTAAGAGGAACCAGGCCATGTCAGAAAATAATGTTGTCATGTTGTGCTTTTTTAAACTTAATATACTGCAGTAGCTATTGGGAAATCTATAACAGTAAATTGTATTGTTATTTACATTTACACTAGCGCACTTCATCCGTAGATCCCATTGTGCCATGTATGGAAAGCAGGACATTTTTAACCATTTAAACTATTTTTTATTTTACCAGGTAAAGCCCACTGAGCTATTTATTAGCTCTTTTTCAGAAGCGACCTGGCCTCAAATGATACCTCAATAAAGTAGCTTATCACATGGAAATTTAAAGCAGCCCAAAGAACGTAGAAACTCCAAATATAAAGGCGTCAGGGTCGGGACCGAATCCATGACCTGCTGCATACCAGGCGAGCGAGGTAACGTCTCGCTACCGCAGCGCCCAGGGTAAATGGACAGAACTAGGGGGGTGAAGCCAATTTAAAGGGGTGACTTTTCAAGACAGGGCTTAAACAGGTCTAACTACTCTGATCGTCTTATTACCAAAAGTCTAAATTAAATGCTCCTTATTTTGTCAGGTACAAGCTATTTTTTTCCCAGGAATATAGGTCTGGCTGCAAAGGGTGTGGAACATGGGAGATCACGCCTCTAAAGTGTCTTGTGATAAGAACAGCGAATTTAGAAAAACGAGTGCAGGAAAGCATCAAAAAATGGCAAGCGTGAACTGCGAATGCTAGCCGACTAAAAAAACAAAATGAGTGTTTTAAATATAAGGTTCTTAAATTTAACACACCTGTTATGATTGCTATATGTAACATACCTTCCGTGATTGCCTGAATGATCAACCTCCAAAACCATTAAGGTTCTGTTCTCTATTGAATGGCGATAACTAATTCAATCTGTGACACAGCATTTGATTGAGATGGCAGAGATAATAAACGTAGTCCAGATGCAATATCCTTCTTCTCGAGACGAGGCCACGGCGTTCTACTTCCCTATGCAGCTGCATCGCTTTCCCTTACCTCCTTTTTGACGCCTTGTCTGGTTGTAAACATAATTTCAGTTTTATATCGTGTTGTTCATGCTAATTTCATTGCACAACCCTCTAATTACATAATTTATCTTTGATTTTGCCAGTTTTACCTATTGCTCGGCCTTATCCCTTATTTTAGCATAATGACACAAAGCCTCATATTACCGTATTTCTTTTTCTTTCAGAATATTCCACCTCACCGGGTTCGTTAAGGGCCTCTCCATCATTTCAGAGGTTCGATGCCTTTTGCATGACTGCACTGCCGAGAGTCTTCTGCCTGTGTTTACGTTGCTAAAGTTTTAACGTTAATTTCGTTTGGAAGATAACATGTTCGATAATATAAGCATTGATTTTTCTCTCACTGTATGTATGATCAGTAGCACCGGTAATTTCTTAGGCACATTTTTAACGTGCCTTTTTGTAACATAACGTAAAATACTACACCCTAAAATGTGACAGCAAATGTCATTGTTATCACAATAAATGTCATTGTTGTCACGAGTTTACAAAAGTAATTAAATGAATTTGTCCAAAATGTTTAAATTCAATATGCAATTTACAAGGAAAGAAATGGAATTGGCTTGACTTTGAAAATCTCTACTGCTGCAACCCGATTCAAATTTGCATTTAATTACAAGGTATGAAAATATAAGATACTGTACTCCAAATATGTTTAAACATAATTCAAAAAATGTGTTTAAATTGATTATCATTACTTGGTTTTAGTGATTTTTTGCCTTGCATGTGACAATTGCTGTTATTGATAGGGTCCGTGCTTTACAGCGATACATCGTACGATATTAGATTCACAATGTGCATATCGTTCATTTTGCAAAATGCTAACGTGATTATCATTGCTGTTTTAATTTTGTCAAATATTGTTTTTGTTGAAGGAATATTTTTCTGAACTTACAAACTCAAGCAATGAAGTTCTAAATAAACGGCCAATGTTAATTAACCTAGTGCTTTGCTAAATATTTTGGTGAGTAATTGACGGCATGGTGGTAATATGATGGTATTACATTCACAGTTAATTAAATTATCAATATATTTATTGTGTAACTGACAGCATATACGTTAGAAGCATTGTACAAAGTAAAATTGCAATGATCGGAAGACTTTCGACAGGCTAATGTTAGGTTAACTGCAGTTGAAAAACGTGGAAGTGATCTTTATTCATATTATAAATACAGCAAAAAAACTCAAATAAAATAATACAATTGTGAAATACAATTGCAAAGTTACAGGAAGCTGATATTGTGATAATCGTAATATCGTGACACTTGATATCATGTCGTAATGTGAAAAATTATACTTCACAACCCTGGTTATTTAATACAATCAGATATGCCGAGTGATTTGTTTGATTAATCTCTGAGCTGTTGTTATGTTTCACCACATTTTAAGTTACTTTTTACGCAAATACTTTTTGTAAACACTGGATTTTATTTGTTGCTGAAATAAAATTTTGTATCGTGAATTTCATGTCTGTGTTAAATTTCGATTTAAAGCTTTCGTGACTGCAGGGATTCATCTTCTTGGTTCTTTTGGTAAAGTCACGTAGAATGGAAATAAAAATAATAATAAAATTCTCACGACGTTTCGGCCACAACACGTGGCCTTCTTCAGGTGAAGAAACAGGTCAATCCAGCTCTATCCATATTATTATCTAAATTGTCAAATTGTCATTGTTACCAGTAATTAAATGTGGTATGGTCACAGTTAATATTATGGCGGAACTTTTTTAAAGTTCCCATATTTCCGTATATAAAAGAGTATATGTACTGTATATACGATATGAAAATATACAATTATTGATAAAAAATACTTTACATGGTGATGAAAACACTGCAATAGTCGTTCCATTTATTTACCCAGGAAAGCCCCATTGAGCGTCAGTACCCCTTTTCCATGAGGGCCACGCATTGAGAAGTTTGGCCAATGTATTTTTAAATGAGTAACTTAAAGTGATTTAAGATCATGTAGAATTGTTAGGGAGCCAAACTAAGACACCCTTCGGATTTTTAGGGAGCCAGACTAAGACACCCTTAGGATTCTTAGGGAGCCATACTCAGGCACCCTTAGGATTCTTAGGGAGCCAGACTAAGACACCCTTAGGATTCTTATGGAGCCAGACTAAGACACCCTTAGGATTCTTAGAGAGCCAGACTAAGACACCCTTAGGATTCTTAGGGAGCCAGACTAAGACACCCTTAGGATTCTTAGGGAGCCAGACTCAGGCACACTTAGGATTCTTAGGGAGCCATACTCAGGCACCCTTAGGATTCTTATGGAGCCAGACTAAGACACCCTTAGGATTCTTAGAGAGCGAGACTCAGGCACACTTAGGATTCTTAGGGAGCCAGACTAAGACACCCTTAGGATTCTTAGAGAGCCATACTCAGGCACCCTTAGGATTCTTATGGAGCCAGACTAAGACACCCTTATGATTCTTAGAGAGCGAGACTCAGGCACACTTAGGATTCTTAGGGAGCCAGACTCAGGCACACTTAGGATTCTTAGGGAGCCAGACTAAGGCACCCTTAGGATCCTTAGGGAGCCAGACTCGGGCACCCTTAGGATTCTTAGGGAGCCAGACTAAGACACCCTTAGGATTCTTAGGGAGCCAGACTCAGGCACCCTTAGAATTCTTAGGGAGCCATACTAAGACACCCTTAGGATTCTTAAAGAGCCAGACTCAGGCACCCTTAGGATTCTGAGAGAGCCAGACTCAGGCACCCTTAGGATTCTTAGGGAGCCAAACTAAGACACCCTTCGGATTCTTAGGGAGCCAGACTAAGACACCCTTAGGATTCTTAGGGAGCCAGACTAAGGCACCCTTAGGATTTTTAGGGAGCCAGACTCAGGCACCCTTAGGATTCTTAGGGAGCCAGACTAAGACACCCTTAGGATTCTTAGGGAGCCAAACTCAGGCACCCTTAAGATTCTTAGGGAGCCAAACTAAGGCACCCTTAGGATTCTTAGAGAGCGAGACTCAGGCACACTTAGGATTCTTAGAGAGGGAGACTCAGGCACACTTAGGATCCTTAGGGAGCCAGACTAAGGCACCCTTAGGATTCTTAGGGAGCCAGACTCAGGCACCCTTAGGATTCTTAGGGAGCCAGACTAAGACACCCTTAAGTTTCTTAAGGAGCCAGACTCAGGCACCCTTAGGATTCTTAGGGAGCCAGACTAAGACACCCTTAGGATTCTTAGGGAGCCAGACTCAGGCACCCTTAGGATTCTTAGGGAGCCAGACTAAGGCACCCTTAGGATTCTTAGGGAGCCAGACTAAGGCACCCTTAGGATTCTTAGGGAGCCAGACTCAGGCACCCTTAGGATTCTTAGAGAGCCAGACTAAGGCACCCTTAGGATTCTTAGGGAGCCAGACTCAGGCACCCTTAGGATTCTTAGGGAGCCAGACTCAGGCACCCTTAGGATTCTTAGAGAGCCAGACTAAGACACCCTTAGGATTCTTAGGGAGCCAGACTCAGACACCCTTAGGATTCTTAGGGGGCCAGACTAAGGCACCCTTAGGATTCTTTGGGAGCCAGACTAAGACACCCTTAGGATTCTTAGGGAGCCAGACTAAGACACCCTTAGGATTCTTAGGGTGCCAGACTCAGGCACCCTTAGGATTCTTAGGGAGCCAGACTCAGGCACCCTTAGGATTCTTAGGGAGCCAGACTAAGACACCCTTAGGATTCTTAAGGAGCCAGACTCAGGCACCCTTAGGATTCTTAGGGAGCCAGACTCAGGCACCCTTAGGATTCTTAGGGAGCCAGACTCAGACACCCTTAGGATTCTTAGGGAGCCAGACTCAGGCACCTAGGATTCTTAGGGAGCCAGACTAAGACACCCTTAGGATTCTTAAGGAGCCAGACTCAGGCACCCTTAGGATTCTTAGGGAGCCAGACTCAGGCACCCTTAGGATTCTTAGGGAGCCAGACTCAGACACCCTTAGGATTCTTAAGGAGCCAGACTCAGGCACCCTTAGGATTCTTAGGGAGCCAGACTCAGGCACCCTTAGGATTCTTAGGGAGCCAGACTCAGACACCCTTAGGATTCTTAGGGAGCCAGACTCAGGCACCTAGGATTCTTAGGGAGCCAGACTAAGACACCCTTAGGATTCTTAGGGAGCCAGACTAAGACACCCTTAGGATTCTTAGGGAGCCAGACTCCGGCACCCTTAGGATTCTTAGGGAGCCAGACTCAGACACCCTTAGGATTCTTAAAGAGCCAGACTCAGGCACCCTTAGGATTCTTAGGGAGCCAGACTAAGACACCCTTAGGATTCTTAAAGAGCCAGACTCAGGCACCCTTAGGATTCTTAGGGAGCCAGACTCAGGCACCCTTAGGATTCTTAGGGAGCCAGACTCAGGCACCCTTAGGATTCTTAGGGAGCCAGACTCAGGCACCCTTAGGATTCTTAGGGAGCCAGACTTAGACACCCTTAGGATTCTTAGGGAGCCAGACTAAGACACCCTTAGGATTCTTAGGGAGCCAGACTCAGGCACCCTTAGGATTCTTAAAGAGCCAGACTCAGGCACCCTTAGGATTCTCTAGGGAGCCAGACTAAGACACCCTTAGGATTCTTAAAGAGCCAGACTCAGGCACCCTTAGGATTCTCTAGGGAGCCAGACTAAGACACCCTTAGGATTCTTAAAGAGCCAGACTCAGGCACCCTTAGGATTCTTAGGGAGCCAGACTCAGGCACCCTTAGGATTCTTAGGGAGCCAGACTCGGGCACCCTTAGAATTCTTAGGGAGCCAGACTCAGGCACCCATAGGATTCTTAGGGAGCCAGACTTAGACACCCTTAGGATTCTTAGAGAGCCAGACTCAGGCACCCTTAGGATTCTTAAGAAGCCAGACTCAGACACCCTTAGGATTCTTAAGAAGCCAGACTCAGGCACCCTTAGGATTCTTCGGTCTCGATGTAAACGCCCCGACGCTCACGGAGAGCATTTTGAGAGCATCGTCGCCGTGCGAACCACTCTCGTTATAATTATTGATGCTTTGCCTGTAATTAATTACAGATTATAGGCTCTGTTAAAGTGCTGAAGTGCATTATAATATTTTGACTGATTTTGTAAGTTGATATCAATGGATTGGCGTGGTTCATGACTGTAAAAATCGCGGCGAGTTATAGCGGTCATTTCAAGGAAGAATTTGGGTGGCTATCGCAATGAGTCTGGGCGTGTTATGCTGCGTAATGAAGCATATAGCTTGTCGCTGCACTATTATTATCAGCGTTTTCCCAATATCACAGTTGATATATTGGGATCAATCATTTTAAATGTTGCGTTGTTATACAGTTCAAAATTATATGACGTGTATAGTTCTTCAGTCGTGATACGTGTACTGTGTAAAGTCTACAAGTGTATGCTACAATGATTTAACTGTTTGATAATGTATATGCGCATGAAATGTATTTATTTATACGAATATATGATGAAAGTAATTCAAATTATATTACCCCACAATTGTATTTCTGGTACATGCTTCTAACTACTAAAACATTACAAAATGTGTTTACCTGTACTCACCTATGGTGGGAAGCACGGGCATATCAATTGATATGTTTTGATTGCAATGAAATAGAAAAAAAGTAATGTTTTATTGCAGTATGTTAATTTACGTTTTAGTTTTCAGTCATTTAATTGAATAGACAACAGTAATTTAACCTTTATTTGCATATTCGTTTGCAATTTCTAAAACATGATTCTGTGTACTTGCTTATAGTTCAAATGTAACGTTGTATACCGCTGAATGTAGTGATACAGATAACATACATTATATGTTCTTATTATAATATTGACGTAGTTAATATTAACACCGCCAGTAGTTTGTTTGTAATATAATTGGGTATTTATTACTAAATCCACTATGTTTGGTGAAGTCGGTATTCAGTAGATGTTACCCATATTTTCCTTATCAGATATGTTGACTCGTTTGTATTAGACGTAACATATAAACAGCAATAATAACAATTAAAACCATGTCGTGAGTTACTTTTAACATGAAAAAATCATAGGATAATTTATACACTCAAAATGACCTTTTTCTTTTGCACAGTAATAATAACACCCCAATTCCGAACTATATTACCGTCGGTACAATACGATAAACATGGATAGGACTAAATAAATGAAAGTTTCTTCTTGATTGACAATGGTGTCAGTTGTTTACTTAATATTTGTATATTTAACATGTATTCGATAAAAGTACCCAAACAAGTAATTTCAACAAGTAAAGCAATAAAATCACGTGTATTACCTGTGTAATTTTTTCTACATTATATCCTGTACTTCAAGGCCGTAATTATAATATATATTGCGGGGGAAAACATCCCGCTCAATATTCAAATATGCTCAAAATGTCCCCCCCCCCCAATATATTGCTATAAAAAATTGCTATGCTATGTAAATAAAAAC